ATCATGTGTAGGTTCTCCTTCACCAGGGTGCAACAATAACACTTGTTCACATATTCCTTATAATCCCTTTATTCGTACTAGCATGGGTGGTGAACTTGCTCAAGATGTCGTTTCACTTCAATCGACCGATGGCTCGAATCCTCGAAAATACTTTTCAACAAATGGAGTAGTTTTTGATTGTGCTCCTCATTCTCTTCTTGAAGGACTAGCAAAGGGAGTTAAAGGGATTCTTGGACTTGGGAATGGTTATGTAGGATTTCCTACTCAATTAGCTAATGCTTTTAGTGTACCTCGAAAATTCGCTATATGCTTGACTTCATCCACAACCTCTCGTGGTGTTATCTTCTTTGGTGATAGTCCTTATGTATTTCTTCCTGGAATGGATGTCTCAAAGAGACTTGTTTACACTCCACTTCTGAAGAACCCTGTTAGTACATCGGGGTCATATTTTGAAGGGGAGCCTTCGATGGATTATTTTATTGGAGTGACATCAATCAAAATAAATGGTAATGTTGTACCAATAAACACCACATTGTTGAACATAACCAAAGATGGCAAAGGTGGAACAAAAATTAGTACGGTTGATCCTTACACGAAATTGGAGACTTCGATTTACAATGCTTTAACAAAGGCATTTGTGAAATCGCTTGCTAAGGTTCCAAGGGTGAAACGCGTGGCACCTTTTAAAGTGTGCTATAATAGAACGAGCTTGGGAAGTACTCGTGTTGGCCCTGGTGTTCCACCTATTGAGCTAGTGTTGGGAAACAAAAATGCTACTACATCATGGACTATTTGGGGAGCGAACTCTATGGTGGCGGTGAATAATGATGTGCTCTGTCTTGGATTTGTGGATGGAGGAGTTGAATTTGAACCAACAACTTCTATAGTCATTGGAGCACATCAAATTGAAAACAACCTTTTGCAATTTGACATTGCTAACAAAAAGTTGGGTTTTACTTCTTCACTCTTATTTGGTCAAACAACATGTGCCAACTTCAACTTTACATCCAAACCTTGATGGTATAATAAGGGATGTGCTTTTATGTAATTTTAGATTCAAATAAATGTTTCTTTTATTTTCAAAGGATGGAGTTATCAAGAATAAATCATGTATTCGACTTTGTTTGGTTGATGAATGTAGTCCCATTGGTGTCAAGTAGAAAAAAAGTCTCTGTTAAGAATTCCTACGTCGGAAAATGGATGAAAATTTGGTCTACTCATATGAACTTGAACAATTCTCCCTCATAAGCTAGCTTTTGGGTTGAGTTAGGCTCAAGATCCATCTTTACCGTTTCAATAATTAATATATTGAATAGTGCTACTACTTTAACGTTTTTCAGATATTTGTTGTATCCTTGCTAATAGTAATTAGAATTGCACGCCTACTATCAAAATATTACAAGTGAATGATAATTTAAATAAGATTTGCAATTAATGTTCCACGTTGATTTGTTTACATCCAGAAGGTAAGTGCTGAATCTCAGCTTTGAAGAATAGAGAAGAAGCTACAAGAGCAATTGTATTGATTGAGATCAAAAGGCTACATGTACAAGAGAAAAGGTTGATATTTATAGACTCACTCTGCCTCATTATTTGTAACTAACTGAATGTAACTAATTTTCTTACAAGTTGTTATAACTAACCAACCTATCCTAACTACCACCTTTAGGCTACACTCTCAAATAACAACATTACATATCACAACATCCCCCTTCAAGCTAGGTGGGGTAAAAATGTTAAGGACTCCTAGCTTGGTCGGTAGATATATAGTCATGTTGTACTTAAGTTAACACATCATCCGACTGTTCTTGAGTAGGTAGATAGTTTATTCTGATTAAGCTTTGTTGCAGTCTTTCCCTTATGAAATGACAGTCGATCTCAAAGTGTTTTGTCCTCTCATGATATACAGAATTTGCAGCGATCCATGTGAGACTTCTTGGGTTGCTGCAGAAATTGACTCAGAGTTTGAGGGTTGAAGGTTATATTTGGTCTGATCGTATTGAAATATAGCAACTTGCTAATCAATTTATGATACATTGCCTGATCCACCAGGGGTCTGATTGATCCTTTCGTAACATGCTCATCATACTGTTTCGATATATGTAAGTTTAACATTGGAATCAATGGGGGTACCTGCAGGTTTAGCTGCTAAAAGACCAACTTCTACTATAAGCTAGCTCTAATGCATATTTTCTTTGGTGGATTAGTATACCCTCTGCTGACCTAAAAAACTCAATATCTACGAAGTATTTTAGCTCACCAAAGTCCTTCATCTTAAAAACCTATTGCAGTTCCTTTTTTCTCTTCTATCAACTTGAGACTACTCCCAGTTATCAACATGTCATCTACAAACACAAGTACAACAATATTTCCTTCTTCTGACTTGTTGATGAACAATGAAAAATCATGTTGACTCTGTTTGAATTTGATATTAATGAGAGCTTTAATTTAGTCAACTTATGGTTCCACTGTTTTGGGGCTTGTTTAAGATCACACATGCATGGACTTTGTCAATCTAACACGACTGGCAAATCCTTGAGGAAATTGCATGTAAATTTCTTCATCAAGATCACCTTGCAGAAATGCATTGAAGACATTCATCTAATGTATATTCCAATGCTTTGCAGCAACAATAGACACTATAAACCTTATTGAAATCATTTTAATTACTAATGAAAATGTTTCTTTATAGTCTATTCCTCTTTTTGGTTATATCCCTTAGCAACCAATCTAGCTTCAAACCTCTCTATTTGTCCTGTTGATTTGTACTTGACTTTGTATATCCACCTACAACCTATAGGTCTATTAGTGTCTATTACAGACAACCTTTTGCAAATTCGACATTGCTAACAAAAGGTTGGGATTTACTTGTTCGCTCTTATTTGGTCAAACAGCATGTGCCAACTTCAACTTTACATCTACAGCTTGATGGTAAAAACAAAAACAAAATGGTTTGCTTTTGTAATTTTAAATTCAAATAATTATTTTCTTTTATTTTCCAAATGATGGAGTTGATCTAGAATACATGCATGTATCTGATCGATTTATTGTTTAATTTAGTAACAATGGTGTCAATTCGCAAAAAGTTTCAATAATTGATTGTGTATATCTATACTTTGTTTGGATGTTTGTTACCCATTGTATTATATTGTATTGTATGTTTCATATTGTACGTTTCATATTGTATTGGTAGTTTAAAGAAAATGTTTGTTTTGATTGTTATTCAAATTTTATTATGTCGTATCGTTAAACTCATCATTAGATAAATTGAAAATTCTCATTTTGTATAACGATCGATTTAGTGTGATCGCATTTTTATATTAATTTTTTCTTCTCATTTGTCTTTACTTATTTTTTAATTATCTTATATTATCGTTTGCCCTACCTATTTTGATAGTAGTTCTACGTTGTACCTTACCTTACTTGTAAGTTTATCTTTCAGATTGTTGATGTGCGACATTATGTAATGATGGAGAACGATAAAATCTATCAAAGTAGGGTCGAGGACTGGAAGGTGTTCACCCAACACTACAAGAAATCCGGTTTTTTTCTGGCGACTAAAGTTGCTAAAAACCCCGAAAGTCGCCACGAAATGCTATTAGTGGCGACCTTTAGGCCGTGGCAAGTTCCTCCATATCTGAAAGTTATCTGTGACGACTTTGGATGTTACCACTAAGGGTGTGTTTCGGTATAAAGGAAAATGTTTTTCAGAAAATATTTTTCAATTTTCTCATATTTAGTTGGTTGGCTTAAATATTTTGGAAAATATTTTCCAAATCAACTTATTTTCATCAAATTTAAGAAAAATAACTTCCCTTAGAAAAGTAAGAAAAAGATTTTCCAAAATCATTTTGAACCTCCCACATCAACTTTCCATCCTAACTTAAGTCTCAGATATCAATTCTCAATACTAATTCTAGATCTGACTCATGATTCTCAATTCAAAACTTGACTCTTGACCTCGATTTGGGATACAACTCTCGAGTTTCGAACTGAATCGGGGTTGGATCTCGAGTTAGAATTAGAAGTCGAATTTTAGGTCGAGTGTCGGGGTCGGGTCTCTGAGTGGGGTTAGGTATCGGGTCAAGTGTCGAGGTTGGGTCATGTTTAGTTCTCATGTCTTAAGTCAAGGTCGTTTTTTCCATCACAATTTTCTCTTCGAGAGCACTCAGAATCGAGTGTTGGGTGTTAGGGTTGGATTGCATTGCAAAAGTTGGATCTTGAGTTGGATGTTGAGGTTGGAAGTCGGGGTTGGGTCTCGGATCGGGTTCAAGCTCGGGTGTCGGGATCGTGTCCTGATTCGGGTTAGGTATTGGGATCGTGTCCTGATTCGGTTCATGGTCATGATCGGGTTCTAGTTTAAATGTCGAGTCCCGTATCAGGAGTAGGGGTCAGGTTCCAAATTGGGTGTCGGAGGCAGATGTCCAATCAATTATTGAGGTTGACTTTTAGGGTAGAATCTATTTTCCTAAAAAGTATTTTGTACTCTAGACAAATATAAAATATAATTTTGTTAAAAATATTTTTCATTCACCAATCATACATTAAAAAATATTTTCCACTCACTAGTCAACGAGAAAAATAAGTTAGAAACCAACTTATTTTCTAGAAAAATATTTTCTACAAAAACATTTTCCATCCTACCAAACTTACCCTATGTCTCATTATATTGACTGATGCATCTTGTATTCTTTGAACAATATGATAATTAAATAACCAAGGGAGAAATTCGAAAAGCGATTGTAGTACTAATTGATATGAACATAATAATAATAATAGTAGAATGCTTCTTCCATTTCTTTATTTTCTTCATTTGGACGAAATTATGAACTGGCAGGCAATATAATATCTATTACGTAATTATATATAGTCAATGATCATAGATCCTAGAATTCTTAATGGGCAACTTGTATAATCAAGAATCATAGTATTAAATAAGCTTTACATCGCTATAAATCAAGATGCTACATCTCCAAATTCTACTCACTTCATCAATAACGTAACAATGGTTATCAAAATAAATTTTATATCCTTGTTTCTTTCTTTGATCCTCTTATTTTCCCTCTCCTTCGCGAAAACGCCTCCGCGACCTCGAGCTTTTCTTCTTCCAGTAATGAAAGATGCATCCACTAAACAATTTGTCACAACCATTAACCAAAGAACACCCCTTGTCCCAGTCAAACTTTCGATCGATCTTGGTCAACGATTTTTATGGGTTGATTGTGAAAAAGGTTATGTTAGTTCATCTTATAAACCTGTCCCTTGTGGTTCCATCCCTTGTAAACGTTCTTTATCGGGTGCATGTGTTGAATCATGTGTAGGTTCTCCTTCACCAGGGTGCAACAATAACACTTGTTCACATATTCCTTATAATCCCTTTATTCGTACTAGCATGGGTGGTGAACTTGCTCAAGATGTCGTTTCACTTCAATCGACCGATGGCTCGAATCCTCGAAAATACTTTTCAACAAATGGAGTAGTTTTTGATTGTGCTCCTCATTCTCTTCTTGAAGGACTAGCAAAGGGAGTTAAAGGGATTCTTGGACTTGGGAATGGTTATGTAGGATTTCCTACTCAATTAGCTAATGCTTTTAGTGTACCTCGAAAATTCGCTATATGCTTGACTTCATCCACAACCTCTCGTGGTGTTATCTTCTTTGGTGATAGTCCTTATGTATTTCTTCCTGGAATGGATGTCTCAAAGAGACTTGTTTACACTCCACTTCTGAAGAACCCTGTTAGTACATCGGGGTCATATTTTGAAGGGGAGCCTTCGATGGATTATTTTATTGGAGTGACATCAATCAAAATAAATGGTAATGTTGTACCAATAAACACCACATTGTTGAACATAACCAAAGATGGCAAAGGTGGAACAAAAATTAGTACGGTTGATCCTTACACGAAATTGGAGACTTCGATTTACAATGCTTTAACAAAGGCATTTGTGAAATCGCTTGCTAAGGTTCCAAGGGTGAAACGCGTGGCACCTTTTAAAGTGTGCTATAATAGAACGAGCTTGGGAAGTACTCGTGTTGGCCCTGGTGTTCCACCTATTGAGCTAGTGTTGGGAAACAAAAATGCTACTACATCATGGACTATTTGGGGAGCGAACTCTATGGTGGCGGTGAATAATGATGTGCTCTGTCTTGGATTTGTGGATGGAGGAGTTGAATTTGAACCAACAACTTCTATAGTCATTGGAGCACATCAAATTGAAAACAACCTTTTGCAATTTGACATTGCTAACAAAAAGTTGGGTTTTACTTCTTCACTCTTATTTGGTCAAACAACATGTGCCAACTTCAACTTTACATCCAAACCTTGATGGTATAATAAGGGATGTGCTTTTATGTAATTTTAGATTCAAATAAATGTTTCTTTTATTTTCAAAGGATGGAGTTATCAAGAATAAATCATGTATTCGACTTTGTTTGGTTGATGAATGTAGTCCCATTGGTGTCAAGTAGAAAAAAAGTCTCTGTTAAGAATTCCTACGTCGGAAAATGGATGAAAATTTGGTCTACTCATATGAACTTGAACAATTCTCCCTCATAAGCTAGCTTTTGGGTTGAGTTAGGCTCAAGATCCATCTTTACCGTTTCAATAATTAATATATTGAATAGTGCTACTACTTTAACGTTTTTCAGATATTTGTTGTATCCTTGCTAATAGTAATTAGAATTGCACGCCTACTATCAAAATATTACAAGTGAATGATAATTTAAATAAGATTTGCAATTAATGTTCCACGTTGATTTGTTTACATCCAGAAGGTAAGTGCTGAATCTCAGCTTTGAAGAATAGAGAAGAAGCTACAAGAGCAATTGTATTGATTGAGATCAAAAGGCTACATGTACAAGAGAAAAGGTTGATATTTATAGACTCACTCTGCCTCATTATTTGTAACTAACTGAATGTAACTAATTTTCTTACAAGTTGTTATAACTAACCAACCTATCCTAACTACCACCTTTAGGCTACACTCTCAAATAACAACATTACATATCACAACATCCCCCTTCAAGCTAGGTGGGGTAAAAATGTTAAGGACTCCTAGCTTGGTCGGTAGATATATAGTCATGTTGTACTTAAGTTAACACATCATCCGACTGTTCTTGAGTAGGTAGATAGTTTATTCTGATTAAGCTTTGTTGCAGTCTTTCCCTTATGAAATGACAGTCGATCTCAAAGTGTTTTGTCCTCTCATGATATACAGAATTTGCAGCGATCCATGTGAGACTTCTTGGGTTGCTGCAGAAATTGACTCAGAGTTTGAGGGTTGAAGGTTATATTTGGTCTGATCGTATTGAAATATAGCAACTTGCTAATCAATTTATGATACATTGCCTGATCCACCAGGGGTCTGATTGATCCTTTCGTAACATGCTCATCATACTGTTTCGATATATGTAAGTTTAACATTGGAATCAATGGGGGTACCTGCAGGTTTAGCTGCTAAAAGACCAACTTCTACTATAAGCTAGCTCTAATGCATATTTTCTTTGGTGGATTAGTATACCCTCTGCTGACCTAAAAAACTCAATATCTACGAAGTATTTTAGCTCACCAAAGTCCTTCATCTTAAAAACCTATTGCAGTTCCTTTTTTCTCTTCTATCAACTTGAGACTACTCCCAGTTATCAACATGTCATCTACAAACACAAGTACAACAATATTTCCTTCTTCTGACTTGTTGATGAACAATGAAAAATCATGTTGACTCTGTTTGAATTTGATATTAATGAGAGCTTTAATTTAGTCAACTTATGGTTCCACTGTTTTGGGGCTTGTTTAAGATCACACATGCATGGACTTTGTCAATCTAACACGACTGGCAAATCCTTGAGGAAATTGCATGTAAATTTCTTCATCAAGATCACCTTGCAGAAATGCATTGAAGACATTCATCTAATGTATATTCCAATGCTTTGCAGCAACAATAGACACTATAAACCTTATTGAAATCATTTTAATTACTAATGAAAATGTTTCTTTATAGTCTATTCCTCTTTTTGGTTATATCCCTTAGCAACCAATCTAGCTTCAAACCTCTCTATTTGTCCTGTTGATTTGTACTTGACTTTGTATATCCACCTACAACCTATAGGTCTATTAGTGTCTATTACAGACAACCTTTTGCAAATTCGACATTGCTAACAAAAGGTTGGGATTTACTTGTTCGCTCTTATTTGGTCAAACAGCATGTGCCAACTTCAACTTTACATCTACAGCTTGATGGTAAAAACAAAAACAAAATGGTTTGCTTTTGTAATTTTAAATTCAAATAATTATTTTCTTTTATTTTCCAAATGATGGAGTTGATCTAGAATACATGCATGTATCTGATCGATTTATTGTTTAATTTAGTAACAATGGTGTCAATTCGCAAAAAGTTTCAATAATTGATTGTGTATATCTATACTTTGTTTGGATGTTTGTTACCCATTGTATTATATTGTATTGTATGTTTCATATTGTACGTTTCATATTGTATTGGTAGTTTAAAGAAAATGTTTGTTTTGATTGTTATTCAAATTTTATTATGTCGTATCGTTAAACTCATCATTAGATAAATTGAAAATTCTCATTTTGTATAACGATCGATTTAGTGTGATCGCATTTTTATATTAATTTTTTCTTCTCATTTGTCTTTACTTATTTTTTAATTATCTTATATTATCGTTTGCCCTACCTATTTTGATAGTAGTTCTACGTTGTACCTTACCTTACTTGTAAGTTTATCTTTCAGATTGTTGATGTGCGACATTATGTAATGATGGAGAACGATAAAATCTATCAAAGTAGGGTCGAGGACTGGAAGGTGTTCACCCAACACTACAAGAAATCCGGTTTTTTTTCTGGCGACTAAAGTTGCTAAAAACCCCGAAAGTCGCCACGAAATGCTATTAGTGGCGACCTTTAGGCCGTGGCAAGTTCCTCCATATCTGAAAGTTATCTGTGACGACTTTGGATGTTACCACTAAGGGTGTGTTTCGGTATAAAGGAAAATGTTTTTCAGAAAATATTTTTCAATTTTCTCATATTTAGTTGGTTGGCTTAAATATTTTGGAAAATATTTTCCAAATCAACTTATTTTCATCAAATTTAAGAAAAATAACTTCCCTTAGAAAAGTAAGAAAAAGATTTTCCAAAATCATTTTGAACCTCCCACATCAACTTTCCATCCTAACTTAAGTCTCAGATATCAATTCTCAATACTAATTCTAGATCTGACTCATGATTCTCAATTCAAAACTTGACTCTTGACCTCGATTTGGGATACAACTCTCGAGTTTCGAACTGAATCGGGGTTGGATCTCGAGTTAGAATTAGAAGTCGAATTTTAGGTCGAGTGTCGGGGTCGGGTCTCTGAGTGGGGTTAGGTATCGGGTCAAGTGTCGAGGTTGGGTCATGTTTAGTTCTCATGTCTTAAGTCAAGGTCGTTTTTTCCATCACAATTTTCTCTTCGAGAGCACTCAGAATCGAGTGTTGGGTGTTAGGGTTGGATTGCATTGCAAAAGTTGGATCTTGAGTTGGATGTTGAGGTTGGAAGTCGGGGTTGGGTCTCGGATCGGGTTCAAGCTCGGGTGTCGGGATCGTGTCCTGATTCGGGTTAGGTATTGGGATCGTGTCCTGATTCGGTTCATGGTCATGATCGGGTTCTAGTTTAAATGTCGAGTCCCGTATCAGGAGTAGGGGTCAGGTTCCAAATTGGGTGTCGGAGGCAGATGTCCAATCAATTATTGAGGTTGACTTTTAGGGTAGAATCTATTTTCCTAAAAAGTATTTTGTACTCTAGACAAATATAAAATATAATTTTGTTAAAAATATTTTTCATTCACCAATCATACATTAAAAAATATTTTCCACTCACTAGTCAACGAGAAAAATAAGTTAGAAACCAACTTATTTTCTAGAAAAATATTTTCTACAAAAACATTTTCCATCCTACCAAACTTACCCTATGTCTCATTATATTGACTGATGCATCTTGTATTCTTTGAACAATATGATAATTAAATAACCAAGGGAGAAATTCGAAAAGCGATTGTAGTACTAATTGATATGAACATAATAATAATAATAGTAGAATGCTTCTTCCATTTCTTTATTTTCTTCATTTGGACGAAATTATGAACTGGCAGGCAATATAATATCTATTACGTAATTATATATAGTCAATGATCATAGATCCTAGAATTCTTAATGGGCAACTTGTATAATCAAGAATCATAGTATTAAATAAGCTTTACATCGCTATAAATCAAGATGCTACATCTCCAAATTCTACTCACTTCATCAATAACGTAACAATGGTTATCAAAATAAATTTTATATCCTTGTTTCTTTCTTTGATCCTCTTATTTTCCCTCTCCTTCGCGAAAACGCCTCCGCGACCTCGAGCTTTTCTTCTTCCAGTAATGAAAGATGCATCCACTAAACAATTTGTCACAACCATTAACCAAAGAACACCCCTTGTCCCAGTCAAACTTTCGATCGATCTTGGTCAACGATTTTTATGGGTTGATTGTGAAAAAGGTTATGTTAGTTCATCTTATAAACCTGTCCCTTGTGGTTCCATCCCTTGTAAACGTTCTTTATCGGGTGCATGTGTTGAATCATGTGTAGGTTCTCCTTCACCAGGGTGCAACAATAACACTTGTTCACATATTCCTTATAATCCCTTTATTCGTACTAGCATGGGTGGTGAACTTGCTCAAGATGTCGTTTCACTTCAATCGACCGATGGCTCGAATCCTCGAAAATACTTTTCAACAAATGGAGTAGTTTTTGATTGTGCTCCTCATTCTCTTCTTGAAGGACTAGCAAAGGGAGTTAAAGGGATTCTTGGACTTGGGAATGGTTATGTAGGATTTCCTACTCAATTAGCTAATGCTTTTAGTGTACCTCGAAAATTCGCTATATGCTTGACTTCATCCACAACCTCTCGTGGTGTTATCTTCTTTGGTGATAGTCCTTATGTTTTTCTTCCTGGAATGGATTCCTCAATAAGATTTGATTACACTCCACTTCTCAAAAACCCCGTTAGTACATCAGGTTCGTATTATGAAGGGGAGCCTTCAACGGATTATTTTATTGGAGTGACATCTATTAAAATACATAGTATTGTTGTGCCAATAAATACCACATTGTTGAACATTACCAAAGATGGCAAAGGGGGAACAAAAATTAGTACGGTTGAACCTTACACAAAATTAGAGACTTCGATTTATAATGCTTTAACGAAGGCATTTGTTACAGCGCTTCTTAATGTTCCAATGGTGAAACCTGTGGCTCCTTTTAAATTGTGCTATAATAAAACGAGCTTGGGAAGTAATCAGGTTGGCCCTAGTGTTCCACCTATTGAACTAGTGTTGCGTAACAAAA